ATATATATATATATATATATATAATATCGTTTTTAATGTGGGTAACTTGTATTGTTTTATGATAAATTATTTCATAATGAAGAGATAATGATAGCCAAATGACACTGATGAATGTTATTTTATAATTTTAATGATATATCCCGTCATTTTACAACGATTTTTATGCGTTGAATTCAATTAAATCTAAAAAAAAACATAACAATTAATAAAATAAATAAAATAGAAAATGAGAAACTGAACTTTTTACAATTTTTAGATAAATCGATAAATAATAATTTAACAACATTATAATAGATTTTCACATTAAATTGTATTAATGTTGTAGGTCAACATTTTACCACAGGCTATATTTCAATAACAACAGCGACATATCGTATTATATAATATTATATAGTGTTATTAAATTTTTGCTAATATTGTTAATATTTTTAAATTTAAAGTAACATTTTAACAGAAAAATTGTTTTATTAAAGATTATACAAAATTACCAAAATAGAGAAAGTTTAAATTTCTGCGACTATCTGTGACATTATTATTTAGACTTATTATTTAGATTTATTATATCTACATATTTATAAATTACTCGATGTTTTATCTACGACGCATTTTAAATCTCATTATTGTATAACGGTTGATTTTTTTTAATCACTGTTTTATTAAAGAACTATTTATTTGAGAATACTAATCTCGAGATACGACTTTATAAATAAATTTTGGTTCTATAAATATTCAATTTTAAACGATTCTTGAGAGATATGTATTAAGGCAATACTGGAGTTGTTTGTTTCACCGACGAAAACGCAATAATTTTTGTGCAAGATTTTTGTATATATTATTTTTACAGATTTGAAAATCTTTTTTCAGAATTAAAGTATAGGCAATAACGGAACAGTTTTGTTATCGATTTGACGATTTCTAGCATAGACTCGTAACAGTATTTGCTTGTTATAAGATTTTATATTTTGTATCTATAAAATAAGCTTCAACCACGGTAGAACTTACATGAAAGAAATGTACTGTGCTTTTA